ATAAACTTATCCCCTACCTTTCCGGTTGCATCGCCTAACCGATTTACTGTGTAAGACCATTAAAGTATAAACAAAGATTCTGTAGATAGGTCTTTGTAATTCCGTATTTAGTTAATATGCACCCTTCACACGTCATTGAGCAACCTTCACCGATACAGCGAATGGTTTGCAAACTATCCCAAAAAAACAACTGAATAAAGGAGCCCACAAGCCTACGGTGTTCGGTCAAACTTTGAATCGTAGCATTCAAATAGGGATTTTCCACGCTGCCTTTATTTTACTGTGAGTCTAGGAAACGAAAAGCTGTGAACTTGTTTACCGCCTCTTTACAGAATTGCCAGCTTCTGTTGCTTTGCTGATGCAAGTGTTTTGATAATTTTTGTAATCACCAAACAGTGAAGGTGGTAAAAGGCATTAAATTGTAGTTTTGCTTACGTTTAATTTCGCCTGTGAACACAAACCAGGCTGAGACGACGATTATGTTAACTGTTTGTACATTTGCGCAGGATTGTCTCTGCGACCTACAGTTCAGCAGACATATTGTTCCGAGGAAAATTTCGTGAATTCCAGCTGCGAGGATCTGTCACTGTTGTCTGTGTATCAGCCCTCTTAACACGGAAGTATGTAATTAGCTTGTTATTTTTACTACTGAACGCAATGTTTGTCTGCAGTCGGCAGCAGCTTTCTGCCAGAGTTTACGTCGCAGAAGCTGGCTAGTGATATCTTGTTGAGAACATGGCATGCTACCAGATCTGTTAGCCAGTCTTTTCTATAGATCTGACAGTAAATCTAATAGTGTTTCTCTTATTCATGAGATGCTAAAAATTACCACAAGAATCCCCATTATAAAACGCCATATTATGTTTTAGTAGCCCTTCGAAGAACGATGTGTTTTGTTTTAGCCAAGCAGCAACTTTTACCAGGAATGGTGTAGTTAATGAACGGAACCCAAAAATCAAGCCAGTCTGTTTTAAATGGTTTTTAAGCCAGAGGTCACTAAGTTATCGGCCCATTCAGCGTAGCCACTACCCTTGAGATGTATAAAGCAAACTGAATTTGCTCAAGAGCTCGTATGCAAAAGGTCAAAAAGTTTTGATCGCTTCCGCCTAATTCACCTGTGAAAACTTGAACTCCTGTACTTTAAGTGGCCTACTAAATCAAAGGTCCCAGATCACTCTCACGTTGCCAGCAAACCATTATCACGTAATTGAACTGGGGTCCACCGGCGTATTATGTTGTCTGTTGAATTCAAACTATTGAGATAGTCGTAGAAATTGTTAACTCCATCGCAACAAGGTGGCATCAACATACCGCGAAAAGATTCTCAGTAGATGATGAGTTTCGGTCACGACCATTTTTCGAAATCCTCTTTATAAATATTCAATAAAATCGGGGATATTTGAGATCCCATTGCAAAAACTTTTTCTTGTTAGTACACAACCGTTTCAAAAACAACTCAAATATTTAATCCATCGAGAGATTTTTTCTTTCATTAAGTGTCATGTCTGTCAGTAACAGCCTACTGGTTACCTCCAAAATATTCATCCTGGGGAAGTTTGTGCACATTGCGATGATGTGAAAACTTCGTCTATCTCTAGGGGGAAGTCCTGCGATCTTATTTGCAAAGTTTTGCGAACTTCTGTCGGCAGGCTATCTTCAGTTGAATGTGAGTCATCCTTGGTAAGAAATTTATTTCTAATGCCCTTAAATGGTTTTGTGTTTTCGAAACAGACTAGTATGCTGATTCAGTGAGACGTCTCTAATCGGCACTTACAGGTAATTTTCAGGCTATCCGATGACAATAACCGAATGTCTCAAATTGAGACAGTTAACAATGAGCGTGAACCACTGTATTTTAAGTAATACCATCCTTAAAAATACTTCAAGACTTTCTCTTCAGGATTATTGGTGTGCAGAGAGAATAAAATTCATTGTGTCCTATACTACACGTTGCATTTTAAAAACATTCTTGTGACCCGGTTTAACTATAAAACTTCACCGATATGTCATCAGCCATGAGGATCACGGTGGTCTTAGTAAACTGCTTATTGCACGGGCATTCTTACTCTCAAGCCTCCGGGACACTAATTCCACCAATTTGAGATAGCTTAGTTGTCAGGTTTATTGGTCACAAGGGCAGATATTCATTTTTCCTCTTTATATTCACCTTGTTGCTACTGATTAAGCCAATACTGTAGGACCGATTACCGTGTGGGAAAAGATGAAGGAGATGTATCAATTTTTTCAAAAAACAGGTTCTCGTAATCTATCTTTCCTTAATGAACTTTCTCGCGTGGTGTTACACGTTTAGTCCCCTGGACTCCATGGCCCTTCTTACGCTGCGCCACAATATACGTGGTGAGTTATATGCCTATAATGAACCAACTAAAAACATCAATCTTTCTGTTGGAATTTCACTCAAACTAGCATCCTTGCTTGGTCACTCTAGTGGTTGCAGAAATACAAGTGCAACTATCAAGGATCCCCAAGCATTAGGAGATGGTTTTCCACCCGTTTATGTGTGCAGTGCTCAATGATCATGAAGTTGTTCGATTAGATTATCCGAGTATTATATACACAGCCGCAAATTGCAAGACATTCTGGTGAAACCAGCCTTTGTTCTCTCACATTTGGTTTCCAATCAAGGGGAAAATACAACCAAACAGCCTCTCAATCAAAAGATGCTAACTATCCTCACTTACGATTAAACTGTTCTTGTTTGTGAAAAATTAGGTAGACTACATATATTTACATAGCTAATTTCTTGGAGGAAATTGTTTGACTTCACAACCACCGGGAATGTCTTTGTCAAGGGGCAAAGGGCTAAAATTTGCAAGCCGGGTAAACCAAAAGATTAATGGGGTTTTCATGGACCATACTTCGCATGACCTGAATCTTAAGCATTAGGAAATTATGAAAGTCCACCGAGAGTCCGTATGAGGCACGCTGGTGGCACACTTGTGATCAAAAGAGATATGCTGTGTGCATTTTTTACTCCAAAGCCCTTTGGAGCCATCATCACTATGAAACGAGAATACACCAAAGACCAATTCTGTCGTCTCCCCACTTAAGCTTTAATTCTGATCACCCATCGACCAAAAAGGAAGTGGTAACTCGTACACGGCCACCAGGCGAATAAGATCTGGTATAATACAGCTTCATTCGAAAGTCAGCCTACTCATGCTAAACACCCAAAGAAACAAGGAATATCTAGTAATCCAACATGTACCTCAGCCACTCGACACAGTACAGAAATATGGTTGGACCAACTGACTTGGTGAAGATCTCGCACCAGAAGCACATCCAAAACATCTCTTGCAAGTTCTCTAACTTCAACATTTGTGCCTTTTTTAATGGTCTGCACACTACAGAAAATACAGATTTGCACGACAGACTCTTTTGAACCTGATGACCATCCCCTCTATACATACAGAGCTGTTTGGACAGAGTGTGTTGTATGTATAGGTGTGCTGTGCTAGAACGGTGACTTCATGCTTTGTGCGCTACCAGGTCCGACAGTGTTGAGTAATCTGCCGCTCGGCCCATTATACCTCACCATGCAAAATCTCTTCACATGAGGTATGCCACAGGCACAATAAGTCCATTTTAAAACCAGGTGTCGAACTTGCGCACAGTCAAGCTCACACAAGTGGTAAGACAAATGATTTTCACACCAACCACAGCACACATGACTATACTGAACAGTCCTTTGCTCAACACACTGATCAGGTTAATTTCTCCCTTTTGCTTCTCGATGAAAGCCATTGGTGGTTGTCAAAACGTTGGGTAGTTTCACTACATATATTTACCGTCTAGTCACCGACGTTTTCTCTATGAACCCATAATCTACAGATTAGGTAGTATCTATCTAAATAGTTGCCTCGATAACAGGATTTGCCTCATTTGTGATAGTTAACCAAAAATACTCGGTTTAAAATTAAGCTTTGTGATTTTGACTTTTCATAAAGAACGGAACTATTGCACTTGCAACAAAAATCTTCTGTCAATATTGCCTCTTAGACGAGTGTTTATGGGGAAAAAGGGGAGCTGGGTGGATGCATGAAAACTTTGCGCACATTATTAAATCTCTGACTCGAGGTTCAATTACATTTCAAACTGTATATGCTTGGAATGGGGAAAGCCGCACGTGCATCATATTCCTTCTGTATCGTAATTCGTAATTCAGCGAACCAGTTATTACCATCTTGCTTGGAATGAACAATACAAGCGGAGGATACTAGAACTATTTCCTTTTCAAGTATCAGCTAATACCGAATCCAATCACCAGTGAATCTTTAGCCACTAGCCCAAGAGCTATTGATTTCTGGGCTAAATTTGTCCCCGCTGGATGTTCACGGTGAATGAGAAAGATGCAGATTGCTCCTTGGCTTTCCAGCTTGGGTTAGCTTCACTGGTAAACTGGGACAAAAATTTCAAACTTCAAATCACTCTTGCCATTTACACAATGTTTTTGCTTATTTCGGATAGCACCGTTAGCCAAAGTCGATAGCTTACTTGAGGATGTTCCTCTAACAAAATAAATGCCAATGCGTAGCGAAAAAGCATAATTGATCCTTAATAGAGTCATAGTGTGACTGTTGTCCGTGCGCTTTGAACTATTTCACCCGCTTGAGCCCAAACTCACTTGATGGGTAACCCGTGATGATCATAGCGGCCCAACTTATGAATGGATAAAAAAGCTGCCTAGCCAATACATTCTCCCACTCTGGCACGAGGAACAGAGATGTGTATATTTCAAAAAAGACGAACGCCACTGTTCTGCTCAGCATGTAGGTAGAGCGCAGCGGCAGTTTAAGCTTACTTTATCACGTGCTGGTATTCCTGTAGTACAACGACCATTACCGCACTTGCTTGAAGATAGTCTTGCATTGACAGTAAAACATTAGAATTCGGAATCTATTGCTCACTTTATTTGTGAGAAATAAGAACACGAGTACGAATAAAACATCCCTCCGGATAGTTCAACAAGTTGAACTTACTTCAAAATATTCTTTGCGTATAGCAATATTGCACACAAATTTTTCACCAGTGCGGAATCCACAACGCCTTGCTGAAGTGCCGTGTGAGGTTGTGCTTGTCTCCGGGCTCTTTGCATTCACATCCCATCCTCCTGTACTCTCAAATACTATTTGCAAAGGCTGGGTTTCAACCACAGGTAGCTCGCCTTCCAAACCATTGGATTCATCGAAAGCAACTGGGTCAAATGCTAAATAGTCTGACAGTAAATCCAGACTGAAGCTGACAGATCAAAAGGGAAGATAATCGGTGGATCGGTAAGAGAATACCGAGTAATAACAAACATGCCTAGTTGACAGCCTGGAGAAAACAACATTAGGAACAATGTGCGGGTTTGTGTGGATGAACTGGATAGACAGATAAGACATGTTAACCATAGAATGGCAGAGAAATAGAAAACTGAAGCAAACGCAGCATTTTGACGGTAATTGATCAGCCTATCCTTAAATGTGCTTCATTCTTCGTGCGTCAAGTATAGTAGATATATTTAATGTCTGCATGAAACACCATGTATGTATGCTAGTTGTAGCTTCGTTCTGAACTACTGTGGCGAATTTGACGGCGCGGCATCACAATGTTGCACAGGCACAAGCGCACTGACCAAAGTATATTTACGATGGGTACACAGGAGTTATGAATGATTAATTAAACAGCCGAACCAATGGAATCACTGTTTGCTTTTCCAGGTTAGGGTGTGACCACTATTTACCACAATTGCGGGGCATTTCATCAAAGACAGGGTTTCTGGATAATTATTCCTCAAAAATATAACGTCACATAGGGAAAAGTGACCAGAAAACTTGGTCACTTGCTGAGATGAGTTGATGTTATTTTGGCTTCAGATTATTCACCCATGTGTGCGTACACACCATACCTAAAATAGATGCCCGAGTATATTCAACTGCAACCCAAAGCCGCACAAACTAGAAGCCTAAAGATTGCGACCATGTGTGGTATACGCAAAATGGGTAGCATGGCGCTTCCCAGCGTAATCAATAAATGTCATTCAAACAAACACAAGCATCTATGCCTGTGTCACAATTCTGCTGGGCCTGACGCGTGGGTCATTCACTTTGGTTGAATGCTGTCATAATAATCGCACGTTTACTATTGCAGTTACAGGTTTATGCTGTCGATGTAACTGAATGGTGGCAACGTTTCTGCCGCAATAACGACTTCTCTATTTGCACAAAAACACATTTTTCGAAGGAAACAAACATTAAATTCATTAGACTTGGTATGGTTAGAAAAAGTTTTACAATGGTTTCTGGTCACTCTAAACGGTAATCATGCTTAAACTTGCACACTACTGTTCAGTTCATTCTTCACCACTTCAGTGAGCTTTTTGTTTGAACTCCCACTCATAGCTGTGTTCATTTAAGGTGATCGCTTCATTTAAAACGATGTTAAATATGATCAGATGTGGAAGTTCTTTTACCACAAAAATAGATTACCAAATTATCTCATTATGTCTGTTTTATTGGTTTCCACAAATGGACCCTTGCTGTGGCAGGTGCACCCAAAACGTTGACAGGCTGATGGCATTCTGTGACACCAAATGGTTAATTGCCCAGCAAGAAACCAATTAGATAACAATGTTGGCGGCGCCAGAAAGCGATTTCCGTTATTCTATGTTATTTGGTGGGAATTGGCCCGTTTGTCACCCTTTTTTGGAGAGGCCAAGTGAATATGTTAATCCGATCAATGAGTCTCACCTCAACTATAACCCCTTAGAGTAAATTGGTTGCACAAACTGTTAAAAACGGTACCCTTTGCCTGAATTTGCAGGGTATAAATAGTCAGGCATAACTGGCTGGTAACGAATCCACAATTTCGCAACCTGTTGTGCCATAGTCTATGTTATATACACCATTTGCGATTTGGACGGCACAGCACCTACTTCAAAGTTTTTTTATTACCCTCCTCGTAATATCAATACACCTTTAAGCTGAGTTGTGGTTTTTCGAAACCATGAACAAATGGCTCATTCCTCCACGCCGCTACATTACGATTTTGCAGCTGTAGCCAAGACCTCATAAAATTTGACCGCTCAATAACTGTGCTTATAGGGAAAGTTACTGAAAGGAATCGCTCACCCGGCTCTCTGAGAATAGTTAAGTCCACCCTCAGGTCGACTATGGTTGTGCGGGTACCACGTAGACCTGTACGTGTTCGGTAAGTGATTTTAGAACTGATTTGAAAGAATGAGTATATTAAGATCACCGAGTTAAAAGAAGCCTAAGATACCGTCTCCCTTGTCCATACCACCAAAGTAATCAAAGCATGAGCACGAATTTCTGAGAGAGAATCAAAGGCGGTGTTCGGCTTTGTATCCACGTGACACCCACACCCAAGCGCCTTATTGATTACCTGACAAGGGTAAAGTATACGAGAAAACGTAAAGACCGTAAATACTTTCCTGTGTTGATTTCATCTACTCTGTTTATTCGTAAACGGTACATAAGTTCAGAATAACAAACTAGGTTATTTATACGTGTGTTTGGATACGTTCTGCAAGAACTGTAATCAGAATACTATTTTGGTTACAATCACTGGGTAAACCGGCCAGGAGATTCAAAGATCCATGAAAAGTATTCCTCTGCTGATCATTCCGAGAGGAAATCTAAAAACAGAGTGATATTCATTTACAAACTGTTGTATTTTGAGGACAGTTGGAGGGCGAGGAATTGTTGGGTATAGAATCTATCACGTATAAAATTATCTACAGACTCGGTAGGAGGCTTTATTATTCTTTGTCCTCATTGTAACGTTACTATGCTATTGTCAATTATATGTTTATCCATATAGGTAGCTAGCGAGCTATTTACATGTCCATCTCTTCTAATGAGCTCTTTTACCTTCATCATTAAATTTAAAAGGCACGCTTCGCCAACAGTTCTACTGATTCAAATATGCGCGCTCATCTTCAATCAGCACACACATCTTAACAAAATATAGACGTTGGAAGAGCTATAAATTTTCTTAAATGTTCACAAGGAGGAAATCAGTTTTTCTTCTTCTTCTCTATGCAAATGAGCCGTGCAAATCCAGCTGGAGATTATTCAAAGGTTAGAATTTTGACTCACTGGTGTTTGCCTGCCGAAAGGAAGTACCACATTACGCATTACACGGCATTTCAATTTTCAGTAAGCTGGGAGCTAACGTGCTGATTGACTGCACTCAGGTAAGTAAGACTTGAATAGTATTTTCATAAACATTGTTATTCGGTTTTTGTTTTCCTTGTTTTTCAACGGTGATTTCAGTAACGATTTATCTCTTGGCAGGTTGGTTACCAACAAAATGAAGTGCAACGTCGAATTGTGTCTTCCAGAGTGGGTTAGAATGTGGGCTGCTGAGCTCGATTTTGTTGAACACTATTGAGGTACTTCAAGCATTCACACAGGTTGTGGCAGAAACATTATTACCTTCGTCCTTACAGATATCCCGTTCGCATATACTGGTGACACTGGTCTTAGCCCGTTTATTTCTGCGGGGAAGGTATTGGAAACATAAACTTCATTGCTATTCATATACCGAGGCTTCCCGATTTCTGAAACTAGTAGTGAAAATAGGTTATAATGGTGCAGCACATTCAGTAACCTGGAAACATCACAAACGAGAGATTCAGCTGGGTTTCAGGTGCGTTTCTGGAAGAACCAGGCTGATTTGCAAATGAGTGTGTTTCTCGAAACAGTCCTATTTGGGTTCAGTTGGAACATAAGGTTGACGGAAACTAGGGGACTGCGCCTACCTGATGAGCCCCAAGAAGGGCAAAATTGTTCATGGGCTGTCGACGAGGTTTCAGCAACCTGATGAATAGTGCATTACAAATAAAGGTTGTAATGTATTTCGATGGTGACGTCAGTAGCATAGTGAGCATCAAACTCAACGATGTGAAATATTTCTGAGGCACCGGCGAGAGAGGCCACAGAATTGGGGTCAATTTGTTGAACCCCAGTGATTTTCATTACAACCCTATTGTTATCAGTTGAAGCTGAATGAATTTAACCAGCACATCACAAAACTCAAATAAGAAATAAAGGACGAGATTTGTCAAGTAGTGTAAAAACTCTGAAGGAGAAAATGTCGCGCATGGAAAATTATGAGTTTGAGTGTCATCTTGTCAAGTGAGACTTCAGTCACGCTTTTTATTCTTTCTCTCGCGAAAGCATTGCTGACTATTTTTATACTTTTGGCAAGTGGATGAATGACATTTTGACTAGCACTTTTGCATTCTTGTCACGAAGAAGGCAAAAATTCACTCATGGGATTACAGGAATTTGGAAGTATGTATAATATTGGTGACTTTGTGAGTTAAAATGTTGCTGGTTAGGCAAGAATTTTTCTGTCTTCCCAGCTTGCCAAATCGCCTGCAAAGGTTGTGTCATTATACGACGAGAGATTGTCATTGAGAATCTGCATGATTATTCCCCACTTCTGCATGCTTTTTTACAATTTCTAAAGAGTGGTTTAAATTTGCAACATGATTAGTGTTGATGAAGATTTTCTGACATTTACTTTGAGTGATTATTTTGGGCTTTGTGGTCCGCTTGTCTTGTGTCTCTCTGGTTCATTTAAGAAATTTTATTTCCATAGTTCCTTTCCTTTTTGCCATCCAGTTTTCGTGTGATTCCTCTGGCCGGAACGCAACGCACTAAAACAACAGAATGGACCGATCGCCTGAAAAAACAGGACTAGTGAAATGGCATTACTCATTGGACCAAACGGCTGCAAAATAATCGGACCACAAAGCCAAAAAAGCCTGAAATGGCCATCCAAATTAAATGCCAGGCTGCCTTAAAAAACCAGCCACTTTTTAAAAACTGTACAAATACAAGCAAAAGTGAGGGAAACGCCAATGCAGCTGCTCAGTGACGATGTCCGCTAGCATGGTGACCGAATTTTTGCAGGCTACTTGCCAAATTCTGCAGACAGATCTACTCACACCTGATCAACAAACATCACAGGTGTTTTCACCCTTTAGTCTCGTAAGAATGGCCCTTGGGTTTTCCTTTCAATGAAAATCATGGTTAAATATTTTCCAGTGTAATAGGTTTATGAAACGGAGTGGTGTCTGGTTTTTGAAGATAACGTTATAAAGTGGCTACAATGCGCTTTTGGAAAATACGCAAGGTGACAACGCTCCAGAATTAGATGAAAAATTCTAGTTTTCGATTTCCTCATATACGAAGCCAAATATTTGGGGAAGTTGATGAAAGATT